GGAAAGAGATGTACCTTGTGCCAGACCAAGGATTAATGTGACAATTATACCCTCCATATGACTATGAAAAAAAGCAAATCTCTTAAAAAAAACACAAACAAACAAACTGAAAAATCACATTAGCATTTATCCCTCCATGTCCTTTGTTTCTCTTTTATTTTTAGCTTTTTGCTTACTTGGATGAGAATAAAATATATCTTTCAGAAAAGTCATTGTACTGGATTAACAGTGTGTGGGTACGTTGCAGCATCACAAGTAATGGGCTCTAATACGCTGCTGGAGGTGAAATGACGTATTTGAGAAAGGAGGTTTGGCAATTCCTTTGAAAAGTATTTGAGATAAATAGCAAAACCTAGCCTTAAATAGGTGGGACAACAACATCAGCATTTTTTTGGATGCTAGCTTGCCCTAGACTAAGCTCTGCTATCAGTGGTCTGCTTTCCATTACTCTTGAATGCCAGCAGTGACAAAGAGATGAAGAAGGAGGAGATCACTGAAGATGATCGATTTTGCAGCTTTGAAATGAGCACGGCTATTAAATGTCATTGGCATTTGTGGCTGATACGCAATCTTCTTGCATTTCAGCTGTATATGCAGAAGGTAAATAGGAAAAATAATTGTGAAATCAATACATGCTGGTATTATGAATTGAACTGACGAAAACAACGTTATTGTCAGACAGGTTTCTCTGAAAATCATCCACACGTTTATGTTACTGGATCAAGACTTCAGTAGCCCAAACTTGCATTCCAGGAATCATTCTATGTAAAGAAGTCTCAAAGAAGAAATAGTTTGTGTAGAAGGCAGGGTGAATATCTGTTTGTAGAACCTTTTCTTTTAAGTGGGGATGGAAGATCCTACCTGGTTATAGTTGGAGTTGCAGAAGGAGCAGACTGTCTCTTGTTTATGTTTTGCTGAGACAAGTAAAATATATTTTTTTATTTTCTTCCTTGTCTTTGCCTTGTTTATGACCCCCATTTTATTTTTTCACCATAAATAAAGGGAAAACATTAGAGTGTATTATAAAATGGAATTGCTTGATGCTGATATACTGGGCATAGAATTTATGGTATGAAACAAAGTTCCCGTAGAAGTTATATATAAACTTGAGAGTATGTATGTTGATTTTCCTGAATTTTATCATAAAGGTCAGGAGAAATATTTATCAAGGTTTTAAGACTTTATTGAGACTGAAGAAAAGTACAGAAGACTTTCGTTTATTGTTTCAAGTAAAACAGAGCTAACGCATTAGGGTCATTCAGTCTCAGTTCAGTACTGGGGCTTAATTCATGTGTATGTGCCTGAGAGCAAGGTTTTGCTGGGTACCTACACTTTGCTGACACTACTAAACAGAAAATGCTATTGATATAGCTGATGAAGTCAATAAATTTCAGGCTATTATCAATTGATTGAGAAAGGGAGAAAATGAGTGCTAAATGGAATTCAGTATCTCAAAACATAAGCACTTGAGTTGAACAAATAAATTTTAAAAGTATGTGCTTGATGGAGCAGAAATAGAATAAAAATTAAGAAAGTGATCTAGTAGTGATAATAAATGGTAGCAAGAAGATGAGACATGAAAATGAACATGATACTAGGCTATATAACAATGGGAATCAAATATAAATTAAAATAAATAGAAATATTGTAGGTAAAATAAGAAAATTTCATCATTTACTATTCTGAATCAAATGCTGATTGTAAAATACATAATTATCATTGAAGAAAGCTTGCATTTTGTGAGTGCTGTCAGGCAGCTATTTATAAAAGTAGTTCTAGGTCTTGAAAAGTGTGTTTTGTTTTGGTTTTTGGATTTACATTCCCCAAATACACAAAGCATCAAACTGCACATTTACGATTAGATTTGCTTTTATGCAGACAGCAAACCAAAGTGATACAGGCTGTTTTCCATAGGAAATGTATGAACAAGTTACACAGGAAAGAAAACATAAATTTGTAAGCATCAGAGACATCAAAACTGAAACGTGTTTCTAGGGGTCAATAAGATTATTATGGAAAGGCGGGGAAAATAAATATGGGTCAATGATCCTTCTAGT